GTTGCTAGTCCTGATTTCTCTGCAAAAGAGCAGAAAGAGATCGAAAAGGCGAAATTCGATACCAAAGAGATGCAGGTACTTTCGTCAAAATCATCGCTTAATTTCAATGACTGCATTGTGACTATGAAGGATGATAAAGCGGGATATATTGGTATGCATCAGAAAGGTCAAGGAGCTAAGCTTAAGGCTGTCAATAGGAAAGCTGATAATCGGGCACATCAATTTCTAGAACAGCGTGCTCGTGGTGCCTATATCGCCTCGATCTGCCAGCCCGAAGCCCCCTATGATCTACCTGTGGCGGCGCAAGCACAACAACCTACAGTTGACGATATTGTTAAGCTCAACACTCGTCTTCAATGGTAGATCGATAACCCCCAGCGAGGCTTAAATTTCGTCCCTGTCGATCTGTCAAAGGCAAAGCTTATGGTATTTACTGATGGTTCATTTGCTAACAACCGTGATCTGAGGTCACAAATCGGGTATGTGATCATGCTTGTAAACGAGAATGTTCCCAAATATTCGTTTGATATTAGAGGCAACCTGCTGCACTACTCATTAACCAAGTACAAACGCGTTACACGCAGTGTCCTAGCATCAGAAATCTATGGTATGGTCAGCGGATTCGACTTAGGTTTGGCACTAGTTACAACTCTTGAGTTGGTGACTAGAGAGCTTCAATTAAAATCCATCCCACTTGTGATTTGTACAGATTCCTTCAGTCTGTATGAGTGCCTAACTAAGTTGGGAACAACCAATGAAAAGCGTCTGATGATTGACGTGATGGCCCTTCGTCCATCATATGAACGAAGAGAGATTGAAGAGATTCGCTGGATTAATGGATTAGATAACCCTGCCGATTCAACGACTAAGTCATCGCCCAACCAGGCGTTGACAAGATTCATTGACAAGAACATACTTTCCATTAAAATGGATAGATCTGTTGAACGACCAAGTTACTCAGACAAACATATGAGTTAAGGACTCTGATTTTACTGGCTTCTGTTCACATAGCGCTGCTTTACGCTCTCATGTTCTGTAACTCTTTTACTGTGTGTATTTTTGGGCACGATGGTGTTTGGGTTCTGGGAAAAAGAAAAGAAATTGCCAGTGTTGGTTCCACTCAGGCTGAATGTTGCAACCTCAGGCCGTTAGGTTCGTCAGACAGTAATAGCTGACTAGCCTGGAGAGGCCTGCGCGTCTCATCTAATTCGTAGAGGCTCGAAACACTCTAGATAAAACTAATGATATATACAATTCAGTACACTCTATTTCCATTCCCCAGCACTAGTGCTAAAGTCCTGTCCACAGATATTGTTTATAAGGATATGATTATCTAATCAAGCTATCTAGGCTACTTTGTACTTTTAATGACTCTTTTATTCTCCCATTTGCCGTCTTTAATCGCTCTAATACTCTCAAAATCAGGCCAGTTTCCAGTTTCCAGCTCGCTGTCGTAGCGCAGTAGTGCTTGTAGCTTCGTCTAGTTTCGCAAAGGTCTTATTTAAGGACTCGAAGACTGTGAACTGGCTTAATCGATGGCTGTACTCAGAGAAGAACCACTAAATGCACTGTTTTTGTGTTGGTTTTGGGACCTGGCGGTGCGCCCATCGTCGCAAAGCACGTCGTTTCTCTACAGAAATTCCCTTTTTTGGCGGCATTATTAGCACCAATCTAACAAAAAACCCTGGTTAAGACGATATTCAGAGGTTGAAGAACGATAATCTAGTAATCGGTAAATGTATGAGAAAGAAGTCCGCTCCGGAAAATATATCGTATAAACGGCAATATTGTTGGAAATACAGTTTCCTGCTTTTCTTTCTATCGACCAATGTGGTTGCATGCATCTTGCCTGAACTATATTTCTGAGTTCGGGCAGGATCCCACACTTCTGATCCAATCGGACTCAACGTTAGAGTCTGCTTGAATCCCATTCTTCCCGAACAAATCCAGTCATTGGTTTGTTCGTACTTCTGTTACGTGACCCAGTATTCTCAGTCAGTGGATAATTATTTTCTGGTACGGGGTCCCACTTATTTCTGCAGTCGAGTCGGTTCCGGGTAACCTCTATTTCTTATAATTCCACTGTATATATCATAATACCTGTAGTCTATTAGTCAATTAAGCAAACTGAACTTCTTCTCCGTTCTCAGGCAATTCTTACTCCGAAGTCTTCTCTATACTCTAACAAATATCATCTTAACCATGATCGTCTTAACAAGGGTCTGACTGTACGCAGAATCATTTCTCGAAGACAGAACTATCTCGGTGAATCTCGCGTCTTCTACAGGACAACGTATCCCCACCAATACAGGAATCCCACAAGGTTCATCACTGTCACCGATTCTTTCCCTCTTCTTTGTCAGCAAGCTCTTGCCGGTTCTTCAAAATTTTCCCACTTCTGCAGTTGGATTTGTCGATGATACCAACATACTAACATGGTCAGGTACAACCGAAGAAAACGGTAAGAAATCGAAGGAACAACATGAGATATGCGAGGCATGGGCTGAAAGGAACGGCGTAAAGTTTGCGCCAGAGAAGTACCAGCTCATGAATTTCACACGAGCAATGAAGTGACACGACCCAGATGCAAGGAGGGCAAGACTGAACACCTGTATGCGGTGTCCTCTCGGAACTGGGGAGTGAAATACTCTCCTAGAGCCAAGTTTAGTCAAATTTCGCAATGCCGAACAAGTTGCCAGCCACTCTTAGCAGATGAAAAATTATGATACCAGCATACCACTGCACCATAAAGCTCGTAATTAACCCCCTCCCAAGACTCTCAACCACAAATCGATCCTGGTTCTATTTAGTCCAGAACTTATATGGCCCTTATTCCGTACATATGTTATTGCTTTCACTCGGCGCCAGCGTAGAACACGTAGTTACCAGTGCCTTAATAACAAAGATATATTTGTGTGGGGCTAAATACCCTCATTTCTGCCATCAAATAGGATCTCCGAAATAATGGAAATCTATAATTCCAGTGTCTATTTTTAGGGCTTCCAAGCTTATGGATAGAAAAGAAGCTGAATACTGGCAGGAAACTGTTGCTTGGAAGGTAATTTCACTGTGATGCCGGAAGGCTGAGAATTGGATGGAAAGAAATTTGAAAACTTCGACGCTGTGCCAATTGGGGAAACCAGGCGCCTGACATTCAGTGTAATAGCCTGTAATTCTTGGGATATATCTAGATCAACAAGCTTCTGTTTTTCCTCCCCCGACCGTATCTTTGACCGGCCAATGCTTGAGCCCTAGTCGGAAAGATCTCGGAGAATATTACCTGGCCCACTTATTCTAGTCTTTCCGCGCCGCCGTGCGCTAGGATCTTAAACCTGAATCCCTACATATCGTCCAGGGTCGCTTGTCGTTCGTCCAAACTTATCAGTAACATTATCCTCCATTGCAACGCATCTCTAAATTTGAATTTCCGCACAGTCGTGCTATTACCCTCTGGAAGAGGAAGTTAAATCAATTTCCAGATGCGCTTTGTCACAGTCTGGGGGTACATATTCCCTTTGAACCGCGTGACGACGAATTTCCCAGTATCGCAGGAATTGCTCCGCTAGGCAATGATTAAAAACTCCTCACCACTTTAATCCTTCATTTATGTCTACATGGATTTCAACCAAGTTCCATCAAGTCTTTGAGTCTGAACTGGTACATCCTCATCTCAATGACTACGTTACATGTTGACTCATTCTCTGGCCTCAGCACTCCTGCAGATAACTCTCTCGACAATAAGAATGCCCGCAGTAAAATACAAATCGTGGCACACAGATCTAGCGAGGCAGATCTTAGGAACAGAGGCGAAAGAGGGATCAGGGTAGAAGGGTCAGATAATCCATTGTGCACGCCATGACTTCTTCTGCGAGCGGAAAGGCGAAAACATTAACACGCTCATGGCAGAGCCGTCTCTCAAATAGAGTCTAGACTGCTTGAACACCTTCTCACTTGAGGCGGGAGATCTCTGGTTCAAATCTAGCAAGAGGAGGCCAATTTTTCGTAGTGCTCATGTGCAGGACAATGAAGGCTAACTTGGGCAAACGAGGGGATCCAAACTTCTCTATGATTGCTCACGGGCGGGGGGTCGACTGTTTACTGAAGACAAACATATGTCATTGTGGTGTTATCGAGTACTATCTGAAATATGAATCTCTATGAATTCAGAAGATTAGTCTATAATATTTTTCAGCTAGCGATGTTATTTTATAGCTAGAAATTTGATTATACACTAAATAATTTTTTGCAAGATTGAAAAGAACGTTATCTTCTCTCTTAGATCTTTCGTATCCCAATGAAAAGTCCTCCGAATTTATAGACCTCAAAGTCATTTGAGTAGGTCAGTGAAAAAAATTATTTAGGATAGAAGCGCTAAGCTTCCAGGTTCTTCTCTGATGATATTGAGTTGACAAAAATACCATTCACAAATAGCCTGACAGCTTCTTGCTGCAGTTTGTAGCTATTGCGCAAAGTGATGGCGTATCCCCCACGAACCTAAATTTGAACACGGGCGAGTTCTTTTTTCACAACACAGATTCTCTTTCGCTGACAATTGATTAATTGGTTCAACGGAATCTCGATGATCAATTATATCATTTATGACTTAGAGAACAGTTCACCATAAAACTGATACTTCATCTAACTGCGGACAAGTTTTTGTATGTAAACTGGATTGAAAAACATTGCTTTTGTATACAAAGAAAACTGAATCATTTTCATAACCTCATGTGTGCCGGGGGTTAAACAGTGTAGTTCTACAATTATTTGTGGCCACCAGCAAATCCTACTAATGAAAAATACAGCGCTTTTAGATTTATCTAGCAAGCCAAGCCCTTTCCTGGGTTCACAACTTTTTATTTCGAGTCTCATCAATGGAAATCATGACCGATTTTCGTAAAATTTGTGGAAAACTTTGACGGGCGATTTGAAAGTGCTTCGTGTGGCACTCATGATTCTCTTAATCCATGTTTAGCATATGAGTAACCGGGTTTAAAATAAGGTTAATTAGAACATTGAGCCTGGACGTGACCAGGCTGCTTACACTTGTAGCAAGTTCGCTCGGAGGTGACTTCTGAAGCACAATCCCTAGAAAGGTGACCGAGCTCGCCACAATTGTAACACTTTTGACCTTGAGTACAATCGCCTATCATCCATTAGTTATAGCTGTTATCTTTTGAAGCTTGGGATAGACTTACGAGATAAATGACCATAACCACCGCATGAATAACAAGTCTGACCGCTTCCATAACTTCGTTGATTATCATATCCGCCAGACTCGGGGCAATTACGAGCAACATGTCCAAATTTGGAGCACTAGAATGTACGTTAGCATCGAAGTTGAAGTAGGTCTGAATTTTGTGACTACCTTGTAGCACTCTTGTGAGCCACCACCACCACCACCACCCGCAGTGTAGGCACCCCCAGAACGGCCAGTGTTTTCGGTTGAGGCACTAGTACAGTCTCGAGAGATGTGACCGGGATAGCCACATTTGTAGCAAGTTTTATCCTTGGGAGTCTCCGGACATTCACGGCCTTCTATAGTTAATAAAAGTTGGGATTAATTTTTGAAATTTTCATACTCATGTGCCCTTCTCCTGTGAGGTAAAACTTGATTTAGTCGCGTTTGTAAGACAGAATTGATATTACATACCACCACAATTATAACTAGACCTCGTTAGTAAGTGATAAGACTCAAAGGTTTGACCCTTACCATTTTGCTGGTCCACGGGTAGGACAGTCTCGAACCTAAAATTTTCATTCAGTAAATTGTAAGGAATCTTTTTTTGGCTTCGGTTATACCTGATGTGAGCCATCGCCACCTGTATGATCTCATTAGCAAACGATGCGGACCAGATGTGCACAATAAATTAATGCAGATCAATACCGAAATCAGAAAACACGTCAGAAGCCTCGGCTGCCGAACTTCACAAAAATATGTAGGGTTTTGATTGCGCTGCTCCCTGGCACCCAACGACATTCTCTTCTAATACTTTAGAATGAGGTTCGCTGGTTTTAGTTTTGATGAGTTTATTTCAAGGACCTCAGAGTCACTGATTGTTACCAGTTCACTGAACTATAGCTTAAATGTAGGATGGGGCAATAAAAAACGAACTGTTTCATTGACTTACAGTTATAGCAACCGCGGCCTTGAGTAGCGCCACTGTAGTTATCCATCTTCTAGAATGTGATTTTTTCTATGCGAGGAATGCAAAAGTCAGTTTATCATTTGATAAAGCAACGGTCAAGCAGCACTTGATATCGTCGTGCTTTTTCATGATGTTTGCTTGTCACTGAAAAAATCGCGGGGTTCGGCCTGTACTGGAAACTAAACCTGAAGATGAGATATGAATACGTACCTTTGACTAGTTGTTCATGCGCTAGTGCAACGGTACCAGTTTCTCAGTAATCTGGTATGACAGTCGCTAGGAGACTAGGAAAAAGGTAGTTCGGGACAAAGTTCAAGAGTGAAATAGGTTTGTTCGACAATTGGAGGGAAAACTTTCTGCTTGACTAGGGTTTTCTCGGAAGTGACTTACACTCCCGGCCCCATGTTAATGGCCTAATCCTAATTTGTATTAAATCGGCAGGGATATGAAAGGTAAATTATATTTTGAATAGTTATGAAGATTAGTCATTTCTTACTTAAACTCCATTGAAACTTTTTGGAGTACTCAGTTATCAAGCTCTAACACATGATCAAAGCTTTATGTACATATTCATAGATTTTTTTCACTTTACAGTCACTCACACCCTAGATTGCGTACGCAAACACTCTCCTGGGTAATATTGTTTTGGCCTCGCGTTATTGTGGATAATGTAGGAGGCATATTTCGTCCCGCAAGTTCGCGTTAAACTTTCATCAACACGCGTTCACTCACATATTCATTCAAATCTATTGTCAGGGATATTTTCACAAACTTAACCAGTCAATTGGTTTCGTCGTCGTTTGTGTCATAAAGGATTCCGGTTATCTCTAGGCTATATCCAAAAGTTATGATGCCTCTCTAATCGTAAATTTACACATAATTAAGAATTTCGTACGCAGTCTGCCCGATTGAGTTTCTAACCTACGGAATATATGACACTCATTTAATTGTATGAACAGCACAAATTCAACAAATTATGATAAATTCATGTGGCGTGGATTTTAAGCACAAGTACCAAATGTAGTATCAGGTATTATTTTTCCGCCCATAAAGAGCAGAATAGAATTTAATTAAAGTCCCTATTAGGTCTTTGACTATGTAGGACATCTTTCCGTCTAAGATATTAATTTTTCGAAATAATATCGGATTCACGTCTATTGGTAAAGTTTGCACGGTTCATATATTTTCTTCAAGTTATATAATCGGTGTTAAATTGTAACACAAATCTACTGAAGATGTTATTCTACCTTCTTGTAAAATATGGTTGAGTTAAGAAATTTTTGAGTCCTGAAATGTAAGGGTTGAGTAAGAACACATTAATAGCACGTTCTCCATCGGGAGTCCTACGTGCTGCACTGGTGAAGTACAATAAAGAGTATAGCAGTATGGCACTGTTCTAGTTGTATATAATTTTTTATTTATGTACGCCTGTATAGAAGGATGTCGTAACCAAAGTCTATAAAATTACGGAAGATGGCCCGCTCAAATTACCAAGCCTCAATGGCTCTTGACCTCATTCAGACTGTCAGCTATCTCCCTAGTATCAACCGGCTTGATAAGTTCCCATTTGTTGTACACCTAGTGCTCAAATTTAAGTGCCATGGGTAATTTGTAGCAATTAATCTAAGTAACCAAAGCGTCTTGTCGAGTAAGTTACTTGGATAAATGAGCTTACAATGCACCGTCACTCAATCATTAGGCTGGGGGACATATTCTAATAATTGAAATCGATCTAAAAGGACAAGCTAATCTGGCAGATGCGACGTCAAGGAGGAATCATGATGATCACTATTAAATACGGCTGTGGCATCACGTGGACAATCTTCAGAGCAATGAATACAACGCCCTTGGGCTCCCTTTGTTTACAATGCAAAATCATACTACTTCTAAGAATCGAATTAGTTCCTGCAGAGGATTGCTTAAATTCCTTAGTCTCAATTAAATTGCCAGGATTCACACATCGTGGCCCATTCTTGAAGGAAATTACGTCCACACCAATTCATTGCGCAGTGACCTAGTCTCGTAGCGTAACGTGCCGACACGAGGACAACAAGGCAGTCTACCATCTAAAGCAAGGGCACACCTTTGTATATTCACAAACAAGTTAAATCCAATACTATCTTTTACATCCCAACTTTTAATGAGAGAAATGAGTCACCTTCCGAACATATGACTTTAGTTAGGGAGATCTGCGGCTTCAATAGCAGAACTCTAAGCTATAGGCAACCAGAGAATACATAATTAATCGTAACAAAGTAGTTATCAAGAAACACAACCAATTTCACTGATAGTATAAATTATCAAAATCTTCCAAAATGTCATCAGCAGGGGGCGGGAATATCAAGGTAGTGGTAAGGGTGAGGCCTTTCAACGGTAGAGGTAAGCCAAACAGCTTTTTACTCTTGTTATTTAATTATCGAAAGCAAATACTGATTTTAAATAGAAATTGATCGTGGGGCTAAATGTATCGTGCAAATGAAAGACTCACAGACACTCCTTATTCCACCTCCAGACTACGAAGAGCGCGTCAAATCAGGGAAAGGAGGAAACAAAGATCTCGGCCAGAAGGTTTTTGCTTTTGATAAATCATATTGGTCCTTTGATCGCTCAGACACTCATTATGCAGGGCAAGCGGAATTGCACAAAGACTTGGGAAAGCCTTTATTAGATAATGCGTTCCAGGGATACAACAACTGCATTTTTGCATATGGCCAGACTGGATCAGGAAAATCATATTCGATGATGGGATATGGCAAAGAAGCTGGTGTAATTCCACAGATATGTCAGGATATGTTTGTCCGCATAGAGAATTTGCAGCAGGACAAAAACCTGAGATGTACCGTGGAGGTTTCTTACTTGGAGATTTACAACGAGCGCGTGCGAGATCTCTTGAACCCCACAACAAAAGGAAACCTGAAGGTGCGAGAGCATCCGTCGACGGGTCCCTATGTCGAGGATCTAGCAAAGTTGGTGGTCAGCAGCTTCATTGACATTGAACACTTGATGGATGAGGGAAATAAAGCTAGGACAGTAGCTGCTACAAACATGAATGAAACTAGTAGTCGAAGTCATGCAGTGTTTACTCTAACCTTGACTCAAAAAAGAATCGACGTGGAGACGAAAATGGCTATGGAAAAAGTTGCCAAGATAAGTTTGGTAGATTTGGCAGGCTCTGAAAGGGCTACATCAACAGGTGCAACAGGTGCGCGTCTTAAAGAGGGCGCTGAGATTAATCGGTCCTTATCCACACTCGGTCGAGTGATTGCGGCCTTAGCTGATCTATCTGATGGAAGGAAGAAAAAGTCCGGGAAAGGGATAAGTCAAGTTCCATACAGAGATAGCGTCTTAACGTGGCTACTAAAAGATTCTCTGGGAGGAAATAGTATGACTGCCATGATTGCGGCAATTAGCCCAGCAGATATTAATTTCGATGAGACTCTGAGCACTCTGAGATATGCTGATAGCGCCAAAAGAATAAAAAATCATGCAGTGGTAAATGAAGATGCAAATGCCCGGATGATTCGTGAATTAAAGGAGGAACTCGAAGCTCTTCGTAGTAAGCTGAGTGGCGGAGGCGGGAGTGCCACCGAGGAAACCTATGCCGTGGGAACACCCCTTGACAAGCAAATTGTTAGTCTCACCCAGCCAGACGGTACAGTAAAAAAAGTTTCTAAAGCAGAGATTGCCGAACAACTCAGCCAATCTGAGAAACTATACTCTGACCTTAATCAAACATGGGAAGAAAAACTAGCAAAAACCGAAGAGATACATAAAGAGCGCGAAGCGGCTCTTGAAGAACTTGGAATCAGTATCGAGAAAGGATTCGTAGGCTTACATACGCCCAAGAAAATGCCACATTTAGTTAACTTATCAGATGATCCTCTACTGGCTGAATGCCTAGTTTATAACCTCAAACCCGGCACAACTACTGTTGGAAATGTCGAGACGAATCCTGGACAGACATTGGAAATTAGATTGAACGGAAGTCGTATTCTCTCTGAGCATTGTACCTTTGAAAATGTTGAGAACATGGTCACTTTGGTACCTAAAGAAGGCGCCGCGGTTATGGTAAATGGTAAACGAATTATCGTTCCTAAGCGATTAAGAAGTGGTTACCGTGTTATTCTGGGTGATTTCCATATATTTAGGTTCAATCATCCATTGGAAGCAAAGGCTGAACGGGTGGAACAAACCTCGCTAAGGTATTCCATCATAGCAAACCAAATGGGTGAAATTGAGAAGAATACGAATACACCCTCGCCAAGGCCAAGTCATGAACGCTGCATGAGTAGGGCTTATTCAGAAGTTGAATGGGACGGAACTCGGCCAGACTCACCTCTGCTACAGAGGAGTAGGGACTCAGACTGGTCTTTCGCGCGTCGAGAAGCTGCTTATGCAATCCTTGGCTCAGACAAACAGATTGCCGGTCTGACCGACGAAGAGCTCAACATCTTGTTTGAAGATGTTCAAAGGGCCAGGGCCGAACGAGCAGGTCAGACGCTAGATGATGATTGCGATTCTCTAATATCATGCCCAGTTCGCGAAAAGTACATGTCAAATGGTACTCTAGATAATTTCTCTTTTGATACATCATTGACAACACCCTCTACACCCAAGCAGGAAGAGATTGAAGACCGAATTCGAGAAGTCAGGGAAGAAATGCAAGCACAGCTCGATAAGCACAAAGTAGAATATCAGGAGCAATTAAAACATGCCGAATTTGCCAATGTTGAGGTGGAAGTAGTGAGAAAAGAAAAGGCTCGAGTGGAAGATGATTTGCGTGAAGTCAAGGCTGAGATGCTTAGAAAATTAGATGAACAGCGCAAAGAATTTCTAGAACACATTCAAAAATTAGACTCGTCAAACCTAGCAGCAACAGAGAAGATGTTATGCTTGTCAGAAAAAGAACTGGATATTGTCAAGAAAGTTGTGTATCAATGGCGAGCTAGCCGATACATCCAAATGGTTGAAGCTATGCTACGGACTGCGGCGAACCTCAAAGAGGCCCAAGTGATGAGTAATGAGATGGAAGAGAATGTTTATTTTCAGTTTGTTATCGTTGAAGCTGGCCATGATATATGTTCCTCCTATGATATGGTCATGAAAAGCTCCTCAAATGAGGATGATGATCCTTACCTCGAAGATGCAGTGAAACCGTGCGTCGGTGTTCGGGTCATCAATTATGGAAATAGTGTCATCCATCTATGGAGCTTGGAAAAGATGCAAGAGCGAATTCGAATCATGCGACAGATTTATCGGCATACGGATAGACCAGGTTATCTTCGACGTTTCAAACTTAGAAATCCGTTCACAGAAAATTATACGCCACAGTTTACTCACATCGGAGACGTAGACGTGCCTCTCTCTGCGGTATTTGCGAGCCGTGTCCAAGACTTTACACTTGACGTTTTATCACCATACACAACTCATGCGATAGGGATCCTGAAGCTTTCCCTGGAACCCTCTTCAGCTCAGGCTCCAACTAACACATTGAAATTCAATGTGGTCATGCATGAATTAAGCGGATTTGCTGAGCGTGAAGGTACAGAAGTTCATGCTCAACTCTTTGTGCCTGGAATGTCTGAAGGAAGCGGGGTTACAACTACACAGATGATACAAGATTTTGATGAAGGTCCAATACGCTTCAAAAGCGTCCACAGCCAGAGCGTGCCGATGTTTGGACCACATAATGTTTGTCTTCGCGTGGCAATTTTTGCTCGGACCAGCACAATGCATTTGGATAAGATTTTAAGTTGGGATGATATGCAAGAGCCTAGCAGACGGCCAAGACACGACTCAAAGAAAAATAGGATAGCTGAGAATCATTTTTTACAGGAGGAAAAATACGATATTTTTACCAAAATACAAATACTCGAGCCTGCCAAGAATGGCGAATATCTTCCGGTTGAGGTCGTCCAATCGAGCGATACAGATGTAGGCTCGTTCCAACTTCACCAAGGTCTCCAAAGACGGATTGTGTTGAAACTAGCGCACAGCTCAGGAGATGCTTTGCCTTGGCAAGAAGTGACAGATCTCAGGGTTGGCTCTGTTCAACTTGTGGATTTAGACGGGAACAAAACTAATAGTGAGGCACCGACTCTCTTTTTTCCAATGAAACTTGTATCAAAGCCGACAGTAATGAGAAACGCAAACGGAACAAGCAACATTACACTAGTTGGACAGTGGGATTCAAGTGCTCATTCTCCTCTACTTGATAATATTACTACAGATAGAGTCAGAGTGAAAGTATCCCTTGAATGGGCTGTAACCTCATCAAGACTTGTGAAACCCATGTCATTCTCCAGGGATCTCTTCTTGCTCATTCACTCGAGAGTTCACCCACGCTCAAATTCAATATTTGCGTCATTATTCCAAAATGTTCGGATTACCCACTCGATGTCTAGTATTTTCTCGGTCACGATCCGGCCTGCGCCGGTTAAGAGAATTGGAAACCTCTGGCGCATGAACACTCGTGATAACTATGTGCAAGGGGAGGAAGTATTGAATAATTGGAAACCGCGGGGTATAAGCTTAATCCAGGATCACTACATTGCTCGGCGACGAAAGCGGCGATTGGCCGAAATTGAAAGTTTTCAGCCGCTCCTTAGCAGAGTTGCTTCCAGTTATCACCAGAGTCAACGTACAGGGAAAGATGATGAGGTGTCGAAGCATGAACTGCAAATTTTGCAGAAGTATATTCGGCTTTGGCAGGGTTGTAAAGACCCAATCTATTCCCTCCTCAAGTCGATCAACACAGAACCCCCGACGGCCAGCAATCTAATTCCCCTTTCACCCTCTACATCACCTCACCTATTGGCTAGCATCACGCTCTATCCAAAACATCCTATTTTGCTGAAAGGTGGTTATTTACTAACGCTCTCCGATGACTCGTCGCGCTGGGTCCGGCGGTTTGTTGAGCTTCGACATCCGTATCTTCATGTCTATTCGGTGCCGGATGGCGATGAAATGGGCGTAATTGGACTCGAGAATTCACGGGTAGATTGGCGTCTGCCCATGGCTAAGCTTGTTGGCAGTGAGAATTCGGCACAACGACGGTCGCTGCGGGAGGCTAACATTTTTGCCGTCTATGGCACCGATAACACTTGGCTCTTTGTGGCACGGAGTGAACAGGATAAGATCGACTGGATATGGCGAATTGATAAGAGCTTTATTGGACTCGGTGGCCGTGAGAGCCACTGAGTCGGAGCTTAATGTACTACAATGGAACTTATGGCAAGCAGGGAAATGGCTAGAGTTGGGCCGAACAGTATATGGAAAAGTTGTGATAATATTGGATGGCGTTGTATGGCGTCTGGATTGCGGGTATGAGAAGAAAATGCGATACCCTAGCTCTTGACCTCGTGGAGTCACTCACAAACATACTTATATTCATACTACTAAATGTAATTATAAATTTTGATATAGGTTAGGCTTTGGAGTGCCCCTGTGTGATACTTGTAATCATTTTAGCAGTGAACTGACTTCCTACGAAAAACGGCATGAAGATGCGCGCAAACGGGAACATGGTCAGGATGGCGACAGGATCAGAGATGGCTCTTTTCTGTGGAGAGGTCGGGTAGAGGCGTGCTAGAGGTGGAGGCAGCGAGGGCTGGTGGGGTACTGCTGATTAGGATGAAGACCATGCGTGCCCAGGCGTGATCACTCGGATTGCGCCAAGCGTGCATGGTAGCCCGTTGCACGCATACGTCGCCACGACGCAGACGACGTGTCGCGCCCGAGTCGAGGAGCAGCTCAATCTCGCCCTCAAGGACGATTCCATAGTCGATGGAGTTAGTGCGATGCATGAAAGGAGTCATGGCAGGCGGGAAGTCGACGTAGCGCAGGACGCTCGCTGTAGCGACGCGGCCGGTTAGTAGGACTGGGACAGAGAGTGGGCCAAGGACATACCGTTGTCCTGGGCCAAGGAGCGCGGCGGGTCGCGAAGATGCTGCTCGTAGAGGGCAAGGTCAGCTGGCGGGGCGTCAGCGCGCGGCGCATTGAGGTCGACGGGAAAGCCAAGAGTGGTGTAGGCGAGAAAGAAGCTGGCGAGACGGGAGTCGTCGTCGTTCTTGATGTGCTCCCATTCGGCGCGGGCCGGCGGCGTGGGGAGGAAGACGGAGGTGCCGTCGGCGGCGTGGCCGGTGATGTGGCGCTGGATGGGGGGCAACGTGTTGGCGGGCTGGGGACGGGCCATGCTGATGGGCGATGGGAGGAGGAGGGGAAAGATGAGGAGAGATGAGGGGAGGAGGGTGACGGGTCAGCTAGAGGGTCGGCCTACTGCTGCACGGCGCCAAAAGCAGCGGGCTCGGCTAAGCGTGGCCGGCCGAACTTTTGGCCGAATGGCGTCGAGGCCTTGTCACGGGACGAGGGGGGCGGCAGCCGGATCTTGGCAGCCGGCGGGGCCAATGTCGTGGTGCCTGCACATAATTCCTTTTGGAGCGGCGTATGTATGTATGAATTTCGTATCAGGCAAAAGCACTACACCCAAGAGGCATTATACGGGTGTGTGATCCCTAAAGACTCACTACTACCTATCTGTCCAGCTTTCTAGGCCGATTGATTACATGAAAAGAAGAAATAGAGAAAATTGCCTAGACTAAAAACACCCTGCGGCCTTGCCCAACTTTTAGGAGCGGCGTGATGCATGGCGAGCTGGCGTGGGCGGAGGAGGAGTGCAGCGTGTGATGGAGGAGCAGCGGCGATTGCTGTGGGCGGCGGGGGCCGGAGGACGAGAAGCGCATCGTCGTCCTGCCCGACTCGCCGCAGCTGGCTCGCTCGCGCCATGTACGATGTGGAGGGGCAGGGCGAGAAAAAAGCAAGGCGAGGCCAGGGCGAGCGAGAGGTATTTGGAGGGCGCGTTGCCGCCCTTCTCGTCGTCGCCATCACTCGACTTCTTCCAAAAACTCCCAGCGTCGCTCGTCGTCATGCACCCGCTGCTCGCCACCGTCCTCGCGCTCCAGCCACTGCCGCCGTCGCCGCCGCTGCCGCTCGCCAACATCACGCGCGAGCACGTCTGTCTTCATCTCTTCATCGCCGGCGCCAGCGGCATCGTGTCCATCATCTTCAGCGCCGTCTGGGTGCTCTACATTGCCAAATACCACGCCAAAGCCTGACGCCGACTCCTCCTCTCCCTGCCGACGAGCTCAAGCCATTATCTTCAGTCGTGCGCCGCCCTCAATCCCCGCCGCCGCGCCGCCGCCGTCGCCTACCATGGGCCGCGCGAGTTCGAGAGAGTGCGCCGAGTCGTCCATCAGTCACGGACCGCGCAGGTGGGAGCTGTGTTTGCTGTAGTCATCAGGTGTTAGCGACGGCCGAGTCGCCGATGTAAATAGATATCGTTCAGCGCTCCATCGTTTCGAAAATAATCTTCCACTCTACCGTCCATGTATGGCCTCTTCTCTTCCGTTGTCTCTCCGTCCCACTGTGCCTGCGTAGTCGCGTGCGGCCGAATCCTCTACTTGTACCTCGACCGCCGCCGCCGCCCTGGTCCCCGTCAAACGCACGGTCGCACATCTCTCGATGCGAGTGGGGCGGCGATGGCGACATTCGCGCGATGCCATCGTGGCCGTCATACCCCGGCGATCGTCGCCACGGTGATGAGCTGCAGGCTTGCATGGCGCCATGAGCAGCCAGCTTCACGGGCGGTGCGTGCGCGCGCCCTCGAACCGCGGGCATCACTGCTCGTCAGGGCTGTCACTTGGCCCTCGCCTACGCGGTCGGGTACGGCAGTGGCGGAATCACTTTACATTCGAGCACACTCAGAGGTTTCGACGGGGGTGTGAGGGTAGGTTAAGGTTATCTATAGGGTTGATCTATGGCTCTCATCGTCGTCCCATCGCTACCAGGCTAAATACAGCTAATCCTCCGAGTCTGTGTCTCGCTCGTTCCTCGCGCCTCCCAGACCATGTCGCTCGCTAAGCGCGAGATTCCCCGCTCGTAGACTAAATCCCTGCTCATTACTATTATGTGGTCGGCGCCAGCTCATGCGAAGCGTCATGGGGACCTAGTGCTGGTAGAAAGTATGATGAATATACAAAAGTGGTGTGCCAAATGTCCCGCGATGACCGAGCCCTGTAGGCAGGTCGAGGGCGGCCACCAAGGCCGAAAGATACACGGTAGAAGTGAAAGTGGTGAATAGGTGCCCACGACACCAGGCCGAAGCTCAAGGTATGCTACACAAAATTAGACCATGCCGTGGCAGAGTTGCAGTATTCGTAGATTCGTCGTCATCGTCATGGCGTGCTGATTAATTTATATACTTGCAAAGAAAAAGAGCGTGCCGAGGGAAAGTTACCTTGCCTTCTCACATGCCCATGCGCACAACCTCGTCCATGACGAATTCCATGAGCTCATAGACGTCGCCCTCGGCATAGTCGTCGTTGCTCAGTTTCGCATGGCGAGTTGGGCTCGCGTCGTTCAGGTAGGGAGAGGGCGCGCGAGCTGGGTGCTTCTTGAGGTAACGCTCGGGCGGCGAATGCGGCGAGCGCGGTGAGCGTGGCGGTGTATTCTCGCCCGTCGGTCGGGAAGTGGTGAGGGAGGTCTTGGAGGACATCTCTTCGCGTGCGGGAGAAGGGATAGTCATGACGGCGGCAGCGGCAACATGCTCTAGAAGTTTTTGTCGCACACGCATGCGTCGATTCTCCGCCTGCTCCAGCTTGCTCACCCACGAGTCGATACTCCGATCTAGCTCACTCAGACTCTCCTCCTGCTTCAGCAGGGCCTCGGGCGAAAATCTCGCCACACGCGGACTGCGCAAGTATGAGCAGATACGGTCATGGAGAGACTGGCGACCGAGACGTAGGGAGCGATGGGTATTGCGCAAGTATTCACACCGCTCATCGAGCGCACGAAGCTCTCGCGAGAGAGACTCAACATCCCGACTGGGAAGCACGTGGAAGCGATGAATTTGAGCGAGGGCCTGGGTTTGAAGCTGCATAAGCTCCGTCGGCGTGTAGTGTTGGCTGGCCAGGTGTGGAGGATGACCCATGGGGAGATTGAGGAAGCTTTGCTGCTGCGGCGAAGGACAAGGAGAGGCGCCTCGGACCGACATGTGACTGTTGGCGGTCGGCGGGCGAATTGGAGAGGGCGTAGGCCGACTCGGAGGATTTCGTGAGGCAGAGAGGCCATGATTCTGCTTTTTAGATCTCGAATGCGGGACAGAGCGTGTAATGGCTTCATCGTCCGACTCGTAACGTCGATAACTCGGCACCGAAGTCTGCAGACTGGGGCCGGAATCGAAGCAGCCCTCGGACTTGTTGGGATGCAAGCCTAGCACCGGAGTGTTGGGCTGCTGCTCTAGTGGCTTGGGACGGGATATTTTGGGCGAGCTGCGACCGGTGATACTCCATAGCTTAGGAGAAGTGCGACCAAATGACCAGGGTTTGGGCGAGCTGCGGCCCTCAGGTTCGGGGACGGTAACAGAGGAGGAAAACGTAGCAGTAAGGGCGGAAGATAGGGCAGAGATGGGCGAGAAAGAGGAGCTCTTGGTCGTCGTCGAGGGTGAGGCGGTGAGATGCGGTGATTCGTGAGGCTTCCGTGTCTTGGGGGGCACTTCGGGCGGCGAGGTGTCGTCGTGGGATGGTGCAGGGGTATATGATCGAGGTTGCGAGGAGACGGGGATGGGGATCGAGAGGGGATGCGGTAGGCATTGGGCGCGATCTGGTGCCATGACTAGGGGGACCTCGGTAGTGTGAACATCAGCGGCAGCATTAGGCGGGCTCGCAGCTGGGAGCTGAGTACAGGAAGAGGATACAGGGGCTTCGGACAGCTGGGCGGATTCCGCGCATAGATCTGCATTGCCGATCTTGCCAAGATGACTGGGGTCGGCGGTACTTGTGACGGGTTCTGTAGGCTCGTCCTGCTGCTGGCGACACGAGCTGGTCGGGTCGCTATGGGAGCGTTCATGGGCTCGCTCATGGACGGGAGGACGACCGGGAATAGTGGCTACGGCGCGTGAGCCAGCGCACCTGGCATATTGGAAGGGAGAGAGACTTACGAGAATCCATAGCCATCTCCTGCACCGTGGTCATGGGTCCGAGTTCGGGGACACTGATCTTTCTCCGCCGCGTCAAAGTCGGCTCTTTCTGCTTCAATTTGAGGGTCATGCTAAGGGTATCGACGGCGCGTGGTGGCTCTTCACGCATCAAGCTGGCGGTCATGGAGGGCGAAACGAGAGAGTCATCGTCACCGAAGGTGCGCGACGGCAGTGATGTGGATTGCGCCGTCGACGCAAGCGGCTGGAACATCCTCCAGACATGCTCCTCGGCCTGCCATGGGTCGTCTTCGATCGGTCGGGTCTAGAGAAGTCTTAGTATTGGAGGACTGCGAGAAGAACTGGTGCGAGTTACCTTTGGAAAGAGAGGCGAGGAGAGCGCGGACTCGGCGCTGTCAGTGGCAATGATTAGGTTGGCAATATGAGCCATGATTTAGGGCGAAAGCTGGAGGGAGCGGTGACAGTTGGACGATGATTAAAAGGATGAGGGACAAGACGAGTTGTTGTCAGAAGGGAATAGAGGCATTCGGCCAGACGTAAGAAGGTCAGCGGCGTTGAAGGTGGCGGAGAGGGCGAAGGGCGTGGTAGATATGGAGAAGCAGAGGTGGTGCGTGGCCTTGACACAGCGGCGACGGCGGCGGCGACGGAGAGTTTGAGGGGGGGACCATCAGGGGTCGGGCGCACGGAGGACTCGAGGGCAGCGACACGCCGTCGCCGCCGCCGCCGCCTGACCCCTGTCGACAGGACTTGAGCTCAACACAAGCCTGGGACCACGTTGTTCGCCGTCGCCGCAGGGGAGCCAAAGTCCCGTTTCAGGAGGGCCTGACCAGGCAGGGCGTGGACTGTAGCAGCAGCGGCGGCGGTAGAGCTTCTTTGCCCCGGCAGCCTCGAGGGGGCTTCGAGTGTCTCTGCCCTCTGCTGGACGGCGCGGCGAGCGAAGTCTCTGGTCGCACAGGCTTTGCTATAGAGTCGGCGGGGAAATGTGGCGTCCAAGTGAGCAGACGGCCGGTACGTCAATGTCCAAAGTTCTCGGTCCCTCCGTCACTCGGTCGGGCCGAAGCAACACCACTCCTTTCAACCACCCATTCGGGCCGAGAGCTGCCGAGAGATGGGTGCTTACCGCATAGAAGCCTCCAAGACCCCTTCTTTCTGTTACGACTCTGGTCAGAGACCGGCTGGCCGTTTCCTCGCCCATAGGGACCGTCAGGGTGAACAATCTATGAAACGGCGCTCAGGCCCCGGAGCAGGTCGTCAGTCCAAATCTGCGGGGCCCCGATCGTCTGAAGATGAAGGGGTAGCCGCGCGTCAGACGTCTAGCAGCTCCGGCGGCGCCTGTCTCTGGCCATGCCATCTCTCTGCATAGTCGCGCCGCACCATTGCCCCGACGGGCCGCGGCGTGCAGCTCGCATCGTCTCTGACCTCCAGACTCGTCGTCTGCAGGCCCGCTGGAACCGGCCTGTCTCGGCACGCTCTGCCCGTCCCGCTCTGCGATCCGTGCAACAAGCCGGGACGGCCCAATGTTTATCCGACAAGGCCGTGCATTCAGCGCGACCTGAGGCGCCGACTAGCATAACGTAACGGCTTTTATCTCAGAAAGTCAATCGGCGCCGCCGTCCGCAACCACGGTACCCTTGGCCCTGGGCGAACGAGGATTCCCAAACTCTATCGGGACTTGCTCATCGAAGCGGCCGCCGTGCGCCGCCCGTCTCTCGGCGCTCTGCCTTTTCTCCCCGCGCCGAGTTGTTTCCGACCACCGCCGTCGCCGCCGCTGCCTGCTCCATCTACGGTCTGCTGCGCGAGTCCACTACAGCTAGAACATGACAGCAGTAGCGGCAGCAGCTATAACAGACATGCGTCTCACCGACAAGGTCCGTCCACAATAAGCTTAACTCCATCTAAGCTTCTTTGCCTAGTCCGAGCAGGACCGGGCTCTGCTCAGACAGTTCGTGCTTGGGCCCGGACCCGGCGCGGCGCCGATGCAGGCCCTGTTCATGGCCTGCCATGCCTAGCCATGTGGCCGGCCAGCTGTTTATTTGCTCCGCCAACTCGTCGTCCAGTGCCGACCACCGCCGTGGCCTCAAGTCCCGCTAGTTCCGCGCCAGCTCGAGACACTACGGTCCACACTACCCTCTGCTCTCATCTATCCACCCCGTTGATACGCTCCATGCCGCTTCTACAATAGGTGCCATCGCCACGCAACTTGCTGCCACTTTCGTCATTTTTCTCTGCCGAGTGCTCCCTCGTCCGCTTACGTAAAGTGGGCGAGACCCAGCTTACCTAATGGCACAGCAAAGTTTGAGACAAACTTCAAACTCGTCGCGCCTTCTGTCCACTCCAGCCATCATCATTGCGCCGCCTCACCCTCCATCAGGGTCCGCGCCCTTCTAGACTCGCTCGTTGCGCACATGGTCGACGTGTCGAAGCTCATCCGAAGCCACGACCCTCTCACCAAGGACTCGTACTCGCGATTCCAAGAGTCCCCGTCGAAATCTCGCCGTATCTCTTCCCTCTGCCTCTCACCGCCCCTGCAAAAACCGGCTGGCGTGCCTTCAAACGTCTGGAGCTAGTTCTCGTATCTTCTCACAAGTATCTGAATTACTCGGTTGGTTTCCATCCGTCCACGTCATTCGGGATACAGATGGAAGGGCCGAGATGACCTAAGATGGACCCATTGACCGCACTTACACCTTTACTCTAGACTTGCTGGTGACAGCGAGATACTATGGCTGTGCTCATAAAATCTCAATTAAGATCTTGGCCTGATAGCAGCGCGGAGTATCCTTCCCGAGCCTACATTACATCGTGCCAGAATGTACAAGCTCTCGGAGATAAGGCGAAAGATTAGATAGGATAATCATTCGCGTGCTACCACAAGCCGAAGACACTCGATTGTCGACTCCGAATCTACAATAGAGCTAGCCTAGTCCCAGCCACAAGCTAGATTTGCAATAGCCACTATGCGGGTGGTGCGAGTATGATAGTGGTGCATGATTCGACAAAATATTTGATACACCATCAATTGCTGTACCGAAATTCCTCCTCTCGGTTTCACAATACTTCAAAGCTATCATTATCTGCTTAACCAGAACGAACGTATCTTCGAGTAGCCCGGCATGGGCCATAGTCTACGGCCGTGTCGTTTCTATCTTACACTCGCATAAGAAATGTGAATCGGTCTAAATTAATAGACTGGGAATGCACATGTTAGAGATAATGGCCTGTCATATCTGCCTTTGTAGCGAGAGTGAGAGCAGAAACAAGTCCGACAGCTAGAGGGCTCAAATCAAGAGAATCTCTATCAAGGGTAGCGCGTGACGGCAAAAGGGCTATTGCGGTAAAGATGGAGGGAAAAGGGAGCGAGGACATGGGCGCGACCGATGCTTTCTTGGACGCCTCGAGGTGTAAAAAGTCTTTGTCGGGGACCCGCCGCTGTCTGAGAGAGTGAGGCTGGCAAACCCTTATTTTGCTCGGGCTTACTGGTCGACTCTTGCTGTGCCGACTACGTCGACCGCGCAAGATGAAAGTGTCGTGGTCCCGGACCCTTGACCGACCTTGGCAAATCCCTGGCTCCCACGCGACCGACCCTCGGGCTCACAATCACTGGCTCTCTTCTGCCTCATTACCACCCTTCTCTGGGAGGGCAAGGTCCCTCCTCCGCATGCTTGCCGCGCCCGGGACATAAAACTGACCCGACCTCGAATCCATGACCTAGACTTCTCCGACCCGCTCAACCCTTGATGCCGTACTGATTGGTCCGGGGATCGCGGTCGAACCAGAGACCTACTTTGGCGACTATAGTCACTGATTTATGCATCAGATGGAGCGGAGGGCTAGAGAGTCAAGTTTTTGCCTGCCGTGCTGCAACCAGCCTAGGGAGTAGGTGTGATGTCACGTGATTTCGCGTCAGTGAAGATGCCGGGATATGCTGTCTAGCCAGATTATTCTAGCCTACGTGGCGCAGGGTAGCGGGAAGGCGGTGATGGCGATGGTGTAAAAATATTGAGGCGGGTCGGCAGAGAGGCTACGCGTCGCACGCGTCGCATGGGACCCGCACGCGTGGCGAGTGGAATTTTACAGTCACTTAACGTGGATTCAGATACCCAAATATGAAACATGACCAATGCTTGTGTAGATTTAGGATGACTCTTCTGAGTCGAGACACTCGCACCCTGGATATCATTCGCTAATACCACTATGCGGCATGTTTGTTTAGCCAGAGCAGTTGACCCTTCTCCGTGAGCACCCAGCAAAGGTTAGTTTCAAACCCTTTGCTTATGCAAGCATGTTTTGTCGTCCTGTACATGAGCACCACGATAAGTTGGTCTCGTCTTGCCGGATTCGAACCGGCCATCTTCCGTCTCAAGTGAGATAGGTGTCCAAGCTATCCAGACCCTGCTTGGGAGACAGCGCAGCCCTGAGCGTGTCTACCGTGTCGCTTGCCCTCTCGCAGACGAAGTCGTGGTGCGCACAAGCCTCTCAGTTGCAAAAACCCCCAATAATCGAGATTTCGTTTCTTTTTGAGTTGTGTCTATGCTTTGCATCGTCTCGTCGCTCTACCTTGATATCTCTCATACGTTCATGCCGCAGATCTGCCTTGCCATATTTGGGTCCTCTCGCAGGAATTCAAGTCAACGAGGCTCAGCTGTGGCCAGAGAATGAGTCTGCTTGTAGCGTGGTCATGAAGTCAGTAAAGGTCCATGCCAGATTATACTTCTTTCTCGGCGGAAGTGAAGAGTCTTGAATCATTGCCTCGTCGCTAGCTTCCTCCGTGTAGGTAAATATGGCTGGACTCGATGGTGGAGAAACGCCGTATCGGTCGCAAGCTGGCAAGGTCGGCACTGTTGAGATACAAAGTCTCTTCCATATGGACCGAAGTGTCGTGAGATGGATTTTGCAGAAGCACAACGGCGATAGCAGAATAGTTGAGACGACCAGGCTGAGCCGTCTTCAGTCCGCTGGAGAATCAGGGCTGCATGGCACAGTGGTGTGCAGTCTCACTCGACCTCTACACGGGACCATGCTGCAGGGAGATGCCAAACTCTCTTGAAAACTAAATCAAGTTCCCGCTGAGTCTGTGACTATGTAGCACTTGAATTAAATTTCTTGCAAACTAGACTTGTCTCACCTACACTTTTGGATTCTAAGGGTAAGGCCTGAGAGTTGTGATGGAGTAAACTTGGCTCATTGGGCAAATTTCCGGAAAAATGGTAGGCGCCTAATGTACTGGAATGGAGTTGAGAATGATAACTATCGAGACTCTATGCCGCGAGGGCACTAGTGACTTATTCATTCCAGCTCCTCCGATCCCACAAAGAAGTGCCCATGTGGTTTACGGACATAACATCATTCCCTAGGGAGCGCCGAGGACCTGCTCGACGTACTCTGAAGTAAAGGAGCCCATCACCATGAAGCTACGCCGCTAATGACACC